CAAAGCACAGAGCTTCTCGTGCATGCGCAGTGGGCACCCAGCTGTGAAGCCACAAGCTGTCACAGTCAGGTGCCCACACTAAAGATGCCGGCACCAAGGAGAGAAGACGGCCGGTGAAACCAGCGGTGGTGAGGACACCTCTGGACAGAGGGACAGGTAAGTGGTTGTATTTTAAGAGTCAGCAGCTACAGTTTTTGCAGCTGCTAACTTTTTTTTTTTTTCAGGTGGAACTCCGCTATGACAGTTTGAAAATTGCAAAAGCTTAATAGAAATGACTTGATTTAAAAAAAAAAGGTGCTCCTTACTTCTGCAATAGATGTGAGTTTAATTTAACTGAAAAATAAGTACTTAACCCCTTCTCTATTGTGTAATCGCTGTAATTGACTTATATATATTTTATATATAAAACATAAGTGTCTTACAAGACGCAAGAAGTGTCTCCGCCCACATCCCAAAATGCCAACATCTCTAAAATAGCCTATACAACACAACAATGATTTTTGATTGGGACTTTAGAGGCATTTCAACTACTAGATTATACGTAAAATAGAAATTTTGTCACATGATGCAAAAACACATTAAAAATGATACAATGGCATTAAAACATCTAGGGAAATGAGAGGGCACAGATAGAACTCAATGGATCATATGACCTACAACTGATAAAAAACACATTGCACTGGAGGGGTGCACCACCATCACTCCCCAGTGGGACCTTGAACATCTCACTCAGCAAAGTCCACAGAAGGCAATCTTAGTGTAATAAGGATGTTGGAACACAGATTGTCCTACTCAGAAAAATGTATGGGGGCTCAAGGTGGAATATACAGCAGACTAAAACAGATATACTCCCAACTTATAGAATCTTAGGTTAGGGTCACCCTCCATGGTGGGTTCTGTCTGTACCTTCTCATTTCCCTTGAAGAAGAGAATATTTCGAAACACATCAGTTTATGAGAAATTGTTACCCAAAGTGTACTGTGATCCCTAGACATTTTAATAGCTTCATATAACTTTAATGTTTTTTGTATCATGTGACAAATAAAATTTGTATGTTACGCATAATCTGATAGTTGAAATGCCTGCAAAGTACCAATCCAAAATCATTGGTGTGTTGTATACACTGTGTTGGGCTATCACAATGGTCATATGATCTGGAGTCCACTCCCGGATCACTGGCCCCTGATCAGCAGCTAGGACCAAGAGCTGTTGGTGATAGCTCAGTCAGTGTGCTGGAGGCATGCAGTAAACACACTCTCAGCACATAACCTCAGGCTGTTGTGGATGCATATGTACAGCGGCTGGGTGTTAAAGCCCAGTTTCCTGCCACTGCGTATATGCGTTACTCGGCCAGCAAGAGGTTAAAGTAGTGGCAGAACAAAGAAAATAGGTAGACAGGCTATTTGGCCAAAAATCGTTAGAACTTAGACGGTCACTTTGGTTACAAATCAGACCCAAAAGATCCATGCACTTTGATCACAAACCAGACCCAAAAGATCCATGCACTTTGGTCACAAACCAGACCCAAAAGATCCATGCACTTTGGTCACAAACCAGACCCAAAAGATCTATGCCCTTTGGTCACAAAGCAGACCCAAAAGATCCATGCACTTTGGTCACAAAGCAGACCCAAAAGATCCATGCACTTTGGTCACAAACCAGACCCAAAAGATCCATGCACTTTGGTCACAAACCAGACCCAAAAGATCTATGCACTTTGGTCACAAAGCAGACCCAAAAGATCCATGCACTTTGGTCACAAAGCAGACCCAAAAGATCCATGCACTTTGGTCACAAACCAGACCCAAAAGATCCATGCACTTTGGTCACAAACCAGACCCAAAAGATCCATGCACTTTGGTCACAAACCAGACCCAAAAGATCTATGCACTTTGGTCACAAAGCAGACCCAAAAGATCCATGCACTTTGGTCACAAAGCAGACCCAAAAGATCCATGCACTTTGGTCACAAAGCAGACCCAAAAGATCTATGCCCTTTGGTCACAAAGCAGACCCAAAAGATCCATGCACTTTGGTCACAAACCAGACCCAAAAGATCTATGCCCTTTGGTCACAAAGCAGACCCAAAAGATCCATGCACTTTGGTCACAAACCAGACCCAAAAGATCTATGCACTTTGGTCACAAAGCAGACCCAAAAGATTCATGCAAACAATTTTTGAGTGTAAATTGTACGTTAATTAACACGTAACTGCTTTAATAAATATCTCCTATTGTTTCCGCTTGTATACAATTAATAAATCTGCCCCCTGGAAGCAATTCCATTCGTTACCATGAAGTGTGGGGTGCCAGTCGATGCAGCTGATGGTTTTGTCTTTGCCAAACTTGTGGTCTGTAAAAGACTGATACTCCTTGAGGTGGGAGTCGGACCTTGTGCCGAACATGCTCTCCTGTTCAGACAAGGCTTTCCAGTCATCTACAAAGGCGTTGAGAATTTCATTTTGCTGTAGCGCTAATTCCAGCCTATTTAAAAGAGGAAGTTCAACTTCTTAATAAAATAGCAAAATTATTAGAAACATTTTCTATGAAAAAAATAATCTATAGCTGCCTGTGCAAGGAGGCGCTAAATTAAAGAGAAGCTATCAATTATAATAGATGTATAAAATATCAACTAACACTAATATGTATAAAGTTCAACTATCATTTAGTAAAATATATCATGCCATAAACACAAAGGATTGGTGAATTACAAACTGTTTCCGATTATTTTCTTACCAGAAGATTTAGGGGTTCATTTAAAAAACAAAACAGTGGTATGGCCTTACCGTGGCTATACCACTATTTAATTAGGCGCATTTAAAATGCAAAGAGCACCTACAAGATTAATGAATAAAAAAACCTGGGGGGAGAGATCAAAATCTTAAGAGTTCTCTCTGTGGACCAGACAGATCTTCCTGGCATACCACAGGCTCCACTGCAGCCTGCATTTTATGAATGGGCTATAAACTGCATGAAATGGTGTGGAGTAACCTAGTGGTGTCTAGCAGATAGGGAATTACATGAGCCCCTTGATTTAATCAAACTTAAAAACTGCCTTTTACCAGAAAAATCATTTTGGTATCATGATAAACAGGAGAAATAAAATCTTTAAACAACAGTAGTTTTAAAATAATCATTAGTCAAAATGGAAAATAAACATATTTTTTCAGTTTCTTATTTCTTTTAAAATATATACGAACTAAATAAGTATTCTATCAAAAGTAATAGAAAAAGTACTGCATAATGCATAGGCCCCTCGTTGACATATAAAAAAGGCACTAGGGTGTGCTTTATTGGTTAAAATATATCTAAACTCAATCACTAAAATCTTATATAAGCTTTAGGTGTTTCCTGTTATAAGATGAAAACTCTCCGTCCCTAGATAATGTTAATATTCCCATCACATGCGTTCCTGGAAAAGGCTCAGAGGTAGCGAGTGCTGCAGCAAGAGCCAGCTGGAGACATCATGGGGTTTATTTACTAAAGCTGGAGAGTCCAAAATCAGACTCCCTTCTGCATAGAAACCAATCAGCTTCCAGGTTTCATTGCCAAAGCTTCATTGAACAAGTTGAGGTTAGAAGCTGATTGGTTTCTATGTAGAAGGGAGTCTGATTTTGGACTCTCCAGCTTTAGTAAATAAACCCCACAAGTCAATGTACATATTTGCCAGCACACCATGGATCATCAAATGTCATCCAAAAAGTTTTACTGAAGAATGATCACATCATAAAGGATAAAGTGCAACATTTCAGAGCCGTGAAGACCCTTCATCAGGCACATCATCCAGCCCGGCTCTGAAACATTGCACTTTATCTTTTGTGATGTAATCATTCTTCAATATAACTTTTTGGATGATAGTTGATGGTCCATGGTGTGCTGGCAAATATGTACATTACCCCACAGTCACATCGGGTGCAACTTGGCATGTGACTTGCGAATCGTATGCCAAGTCGCACCCTCTTGTCCACTATTAGAGCGGTCATATCTGTGGGGTTCAAACTTGGTCGGAGCCGCATCAATTTCTAAAGTAGTACATGCACTACTTTTGGTGTGATTTGCATAGACATCTGTGTCAGATAAAAAATATATAAAGGTATCCTTTACACATTCCTTTATATATTTTTGGTCACTTACCTTTTCTTTGGTTAGGTTTGCAGCTTTATATACAATTTATTGGTGCTGTGTCTATATATTTTACATCTGTGTCAGATGTCTTCAAAATTGCACCTCAAATCGGCATGTCATCCGACTGCAAGTTGCACAATTTCAAAATCGGCTTTGATGTGAACGGGGGGTTAATGCTCCGTCCCTGTTTCCGGTTTGTACTTCTGTTACTCTGCCACACTAGATTCCAGTAAAGACTGTGGGGTTGAAAAAATGGAGAGTGCAAAATTTGGTGCAGCTCTGCATAGAAACCAATCAGCTTCCAGTTTTTCCTTTTTGTCAACGCTTAATAGAACAAGCTGAAGTTAGAAGCTGATTGGCTACCATGCACAGCTACAGCAGACCCCAATTTTAGTAAATCAGTCCCTGTAAGTAAGTACTGTAGCTATTTCACCACACATTACGCTGGCATGGTCCACAGTTGTCACCATCAGCAAACCCACCCTGGGAAATGCCATGCAGTCATCATTGGAGTGCATGTAGGCAGCAATGTCTGCAAATATGCTACAGAAGATCAGCAGCACTGTGATGCAATAAAAAAAAGTTGACATATGTTTTATAACGGTCTTCATTACACCATATTGTCTTCTAATAATAGCAGTTGCACAAGGTCTGCTGAATTCATTTTACATCAAAATCATCACATAAAAAATACATTTATAAAATGATAAAAATGGGATTTCAAGAAGTTTATAGAAAGAATAAGATTACTAAAAATAAGAATATAATAGTTTATTACTATTACCTTTAGTGACACACTAACCTTACTGACACGGAATTGATAAAATCCTTTAGATCTTTAGAAGACAGTAACTCCTGTTTTTCTTCTTCTGAAAGCTCTCGTGGCTGGGATTGAGTGCAGGCATTGCGTGGATAAGTCCTTAAAGAGACATATGAGAGAGACAGCAAATGGTCAGAAGAGGTTACTAATGTTGTTGGTAAATCTAAATGCGATGGTACAATCAGACAGAAAAGTCTATAGCAGCCTTTCTCAAGAGGAACCCTAGAAATACATTTCCGGGATCAAGGAAAAGACTGGACTGAAGGAAGGAACCTCTTCTAAAAATTTCTGTATCTTCAACTCTTGACACATTAGTGTGATGGTCAGTGGGAAGAAACACCCACTTACAAAGAGATAAAAAGATCAATGGTGTCCATAGGAAATTATCTGAGAGTCAGAAATTGCTCATTGATCAAGGAACCCCCCAGCAAACCCTGGTGTGTAGTCACCTTAAAGACTAACTCAACTTTTGTTGAAAAAAATATACCTTATTGGTTGATTAACCTCCCTGGCGGTATGATTATTTCAGATTTTTGGTGCTGAAAGCGGTACCATTTTTTTGCATGGAAATATGTATTTTTTTAATTGTAGGCCTGTAATTTTTAGGAAAAACTCACTGAAATCTGTCCGAACAAGAGTCTAGTAAACATCCCGGGTATGATAAAATTTGAAACACAAAATCATAAATTATAATTTAATAAATAATCATAAAAATAATATAAAAATAATAAAAATTTAATTCAATAATATAATCAAACCAAAAACACTGAAATTTGAAATATAGCGCCAAGTTCGCACATTGCTGAGCTCAGTCGCAAAATCGTTTTCAGTGTCTGATGACAAATTTCCCCACGAATCATTATCACTCAATTCTGTAAGTGGTTCTGATTTACTATCGCTGTTCTCTAGCTGATCTAAACCGCTTTTGACCTAAAGGGACACTTTTTGGACGCCATGGACGTTTCTCAGTTTCCAGGCAGAAAGAACAGACAAAATGCAGGAAGGGCGCCGGACAAAGCACTCGGGACAAAATGTATGTGAAATTGGTTGAGACAGCAATGTTTTACTATGTAAAATGTAAAAAAAAAAAAAATGAAATTTTTTTAAATTTTTAAATTTCCCGCCGCTGGCGGCGCCCGTACGTCCCGACGTCACAGGGACAGGACACAGAAGCCGGATGCCGGCATCGGCCGGAGGAGATGGCCGGGGACGCTGCAGGGGACACATCGCGGGAGCGCAGGGTAAGGTAAGTGAAGAACACATGCCGGTTACCGCTCTTGGTACTGAAATGTTACCCCGAGCTACACTCGGGAATACCGCCAAGGAGGTTAATGTACATTGCAGGGATTTTAACACACTTTGTTGCAGATTCCTACCTTTTGTTATTCTTAAGAAACTGCTGTTTGTTTGTCTGTGTCCATGTGCTAAGTGAATCTGTATGGGGGCGGTTTTATAATTATCAATCAGCTGCTCCTCCTGCAGGGCTCTAATGAGGAAATGGCGGGGTCGGCATCCCGTTGGATGTGATTTCCCTTTCCCTTTGGGAGTATGTCACCAAAAATGACATTTTTGTTGCAGGGGATGCTGAAAATCTGACTTGTATCTTAGTGCAGACTTCTGGGAAAATCAGTGAGCCAATCACACAAGCAGGAAACATCACTTCTGGGGGGCGTTCTGTACACCATCTGTGTACAGAACACTTCCAGGTAGTCATATTACATTGCATTTTACAAAAAATTACGCACTGCAGATTGTAAAGGAAAGGTAATTTTTAACAACATTCAATTACAATATGACTTGAGTAGCAATTGTGTACACTATATTATTATTTTTTTTTTTGTTCTATGAAAGTGGAGTTACCCTTTAAGGGTATGGTATCCTGAATTATCATTTTACAACAACTCTGGGTATCAATAAAGATTTTTATAGCTGCAAAAATGGAAGATGGCTTCCTAGCTTTTATTGCATGATATTCAGTTGTCACATCAGTTAGTGAGAATGAGGCTGATTTACTGAAGAAGTTGAAAATCTTCACACAATAAATTGTGTGAATATTTACTTTTATATCCAATCATGTTAAATAAGTGAACAGGAATTTGTGTAACACATGATAGTGTAATGGAAGTGAATATTCACACAACATGTCATGTGAAGCTTCTCATCTCCTTTAGTAAATCAGCCTCAATATGTCACTTTGCTCATTCAGCCTCATGTGACAGGTTTTCGTAATATGGCACCCCCATCCACTCATACCTACCTTTGCCATGCTGGTCCCCTAATCTGCGGTAGCACTGAGAAATACTATGCCTAGGAATGGGGGGGAACCCCTTCCTCCCAGGATACAGAGTTAGGGGCTGAGCAGCCAATCAGAAGGGGGAGCAGATAATTAAACCTGTGCAAGCTCTGACTAGTATGGAGCTTACAGAGGTTTTAGACACATAGCTCAGATAGAAGAAAAGAGAAGTTGGGGAGCACGGAAGCTGACAACTTGTGGGTAGGAAATGAGCTTTCAAGAGGGCCTGTCATTTAGTCCTGAATGGGCTAAGTAATAAAATCTCTTTAAACCAAAGGAAGGATCTCTGTGATCTGAGTCTCCCTCACCTTTTTCCTTCCCTTCCACAAAAGCAAATCTCTCAGACTGAAACACTAAATTATGGATTATTGTCTTACCACTGGGTCTGGGTGCTCTGCTCCTGCAGAAGTGGTATGACCTGTATTCCTGTATCTCGCTCCTTAGGTATAATGTTGAAACGCTTGTCTTGATAAGAAGTGCATTCCATATACCCATCTTTCACATCTGACGCATTGTAATCGCTGAAATTGACTTGAGCTCCAAATTCACGACGTATTCGTGAAATCATGAATTTAATCTGCAGAAAACAGAACCCCAAGTCAACTAAAACACAGAATACAATTAAGTGCAGTGGAACAAAATGAATCATTAGTAAAGTCCATGTTACCTTAGCTAAACATTTTGCTTGCCTAAACCAATGGTCAAGAAGACTAGCCAAATCAGGTTTTAGTTTTAAAAATAGTGGGGAAGGGTTAAAACCTCTGCTATGTTTTATTGCTGTCTGTGTCCCCACTGGTGAGATTCTTCATTACTTCTTGTCTCAGGTGGACCCATTCACTTACACAGAAATTAATAAACTTTTCCCCATTGCAAAAGAGAGCAATAAAAATCACAACTATAGCTGGCCATTGAGGGATCAAAGTTCATCTGGTTCAGCAGGGACCTGCAAATTTTCATCCATCTATGGCCATTCCAGTTTGAGAGGCGTCAATCTAGCGATCAACTCCTCCCGAACAGGACTGCTGGAAAATTTGTGTTTGATCAGCACATGCACCCAATCGGCTGCAGCGCTGATCTGTGTATACTGACAGAGGAGGAGTCCAGCTGTCAGAATATAACAGCACAGCTGGGAGGATTTCTCCATCCACCACAAATATGTGGATGGGGAAATCTGTTCATTTGTTTTTCGACCAGCTCACTGGCTGATCAAAAAAACTGAATAATGTATAGCCAGCTTAAAGGATAAGTTCACCTTTGGGAACATGTTACATGTTCCACCCATTTTTTACATGTTCCCAATGCTGCAGCCACTGTCCGATTCCCCCCTCTCTGTGATAGCAGTACGGGGAGAAGTTCTCCATACTAGCTGTCATTTTTTAAAAACAGCATGGCTGTGCGAGGCTCTGCCCACACGGTCACCACATTCATTCATAGACTTTTGGGAATGAATGTACTACAATGAATGTACTACAAGTCCTGACAGCCTTTGCGCTTTCGGCTTGTAGTTCTCAATTAACTACAATGGCGCTGTGGCCCACCATGGTAGTTCACTGATTCTTCCTGTCAGTATATCTGCTTGCCTGTACATCCCCTATGGGCAAGCAGTTATACTGACAGATCTGCAGGAGACCTGCATGGCACCAGCAATCCGCTGATCACTGCTGCAATGCTTTACAGGCTCCTGCAACAAAAAATAATAAATGCACATTTTGTTTACCTGAAAAAAATGTGCATTTATTACTTTTTGTCAAAAGGTGAATTTATCCTTTAAGACTTTCATACATATTACAATCTGACCACACAATCTACATACAATCAACTTTAGATTTATCAAAACTATGTAATACAAGGCTTTACCTGAGCTATCCAATCATTCTGCACCCATCCAAGGAGACCCTTGGACTACATACTTGTTAGATCTAAAGAAGATCAGATTGCAGTGTCTATGGTGAGCTATAGTACCCAACCCTACCCATCTCTACTTAAAAACATGTACTGTATGTGTCCCGTTTTATTCTTGCTTCATGCCACAAGTGGTGGTCACCAGAGCAAGAAGTGAGGAAAAGTCTTCTAAAGATTTTCTTTACTGGTATTCAACTCCACACATTAGGATCCAACTAGAAATTAAACATCACTTATAGGTGGACCTGCCCTTTATCCAAGTACTCCATGAGTACTGTTACCTTTGCTCTGGATTCTTTGACCATTTCCTCTTCAATTTCCTTTTCACTACCAAGAGAAACCCATGGTTTGGGAATAGGAGGGTGATAGGTGTAATCTTCTGTGTCTTCTTCCTTTGCCTCTTCATCAATTACAGCCTCAGGGGGCTACAAGACAGCAAAAATAAAACATTCCCATCACTATTAGTTTGAGTATTTTTGTGGCTCATAGGTTTGGTTTCCGTATTCTCTGTAAGGCCTAATCACAACTTATAGTTTAGAAACAGCAGTATTACATTAGATATTAAGCAGCACGCTCCTGATGACGTCATACGACGAAACGCGTAGGGCTGAGCTTGATAGCACTACACTTGTCCTCTGAGAAGGAATTGCTTTTTGCTGGGATTTAAAGTGCCATACACGTTTTTTATGTAAGTGCAATTTTAAGTGTTCTTTTACCTAATAAATACGCTGTTACGCTATGGAAGTTTCCCTTTGATGTTTTTACAGTGGTGGAGGAGTACTGTGGATGTTCTGGAGGAGTTTTTGTCGCAAATGATTGGTCTAGAGATGTTTCCACTATGGAGTCTGTCATCAGCATACAGAGGTATCAAGACCACACAGACGGCCAACTTTCCTGCGCTGCAACATCTTATGTGATATTTGACCTACCATTCCAGGTGGTCAATCTGTGATGAGTGGGAACCTGGAGGGGGGAGCACTAATTGGAGCACTTCGCACAGAGAATTGCTATGGATAAGAAGATTTACTACTGTATCACTTAGTATTCACATTGGATGCGGATTGGGGTTTCTTTGGGATTTTTTTGGAACTTTCCTACCAAATGTTTGCACAATTATTGGGACTTTAATATATATATATATATATATATATATATATATATATATAGTTTTATACAATCTCACTGTATACACAGTTTGATGGCATTGTATATGTGCTATTTATACCACTACTGTCATTTAAGCACTTTGTATTTACATATTGGTTTATTTATGATTTAGTCACCAGGGAGGAGGGATATAATTGTCAGCCCACAGGGCATTGTAGTATATGCACATTTGTAGGGATCCTTCATGTAGTAGGGAGTTAATTTATTTATTTAAAGTATTTTTTGGTAGAGGCAACGCAGCAATTTTTATGTATGTGCAATGACCCATCAATTCACTTAAAGTGGTATTAAACCTAGAAACTTGAATATATTATATATATTATAGCTTATCAATCCTTAAATGTGGTGGCTGAATTAGTTTAGTCTTTTTTTATTTTTTGTTCCACTTTATTTTCACCAGGTGATTCAGCCGTAACACACTTCTTGTCTTAGGAGGAAGAGCAATTGAGACACCTTTGGACAGCAGCATTGTTAATCTAAGGAGAGTCTTCAATTTTTAACTTTGGGTAAAGTGGCGAGGGGTTAGAACCTCTGTCTGGCTTTAAAATGTTCTCATTGAGATTTTTGAGAAAAAAGAAAAAAGTAACAGAGGTTCTTTTCTCATTTTACAAAAAAGAAAAATAGTTTTTACTTTTTGCTTGTGTCTTTTTAAAGAAGACCTATCAATTTTATTTTACTGTTTTAAAATACATATAGAACTCTCCCTCATATTGACAGGTGCTGTGTATATCTAGTTATAAGATCCGTGTTGCCGCCCCTCTCCTCCTGCCGAGGCCGATCCAACAACAGCTAGGAAGGAAATGGCTGACCCATAACGTCAGCTTAAAGCAGAGCTCCACCCAAAAGGGGAAGTTCCACTTTAAGGACTGCTCCCCCACTCCCCATTAAGGATTGGCACCTTTGGGGGGCGGGGGGGAGCGGGTACCTGAATTTTACAGGTACCCGCTCCCACTTCCGGTTCAATCACCTAGGCGATCGGAAGTGGAAGGTGTCCTCCCTCCCTGTAGTCTTTTAGGACACGTGACAGGTCCCAGAAGACTACAGGACCATTCAGGAAGCGCAGCGCTACTCGCAGTGGGTTACCCGGCTGTAGGCCGCAAGCAATCACAGCCGGGTGTGCCCACACAAGATGCCGGAATCCTGGAATACAGGACGGGCTGCGGGGAACACACCGTGGGACTGCGGGACAGGTAAGTGGCTGTTTTTTAAAAGTCAGCAGCTACAGTTTTTGTAGCTGCTGACTTTTATTTTTTGACAGCGTAAGTGGAACTCCGCTTTACCCTTGCTCCGAGCACTTTCCATGGACAGACAATGGCAAGAGGAATGCAGGGGGATGTGTGTCAGTCTATGCAATACCCTTGCCATTGCTTGTCCCTGGAAAATGCTCAGAGCCAAGGTAAGCTGCTGTTATGGAGCAGCCGTTTCTTTCCTAGCTGCAGATGGGCTTTAAGCTGCTAACAATTCAGGGCATATTTATAAAGGACTGATTGTGACATTCACCAAACATTCACCGGTGATTCAATCACTGCCATTTAAAAAACATGTATCGGAAATAGTTCCCTTACTTTAGCATCCATCACACTGGCTTAAAAAACGCCAGTTCCCTTGGCAGAAAAAAACGCTCATTTTGAGCATTTTTTTTTACAAGCATTTAGGCGCATTTAAGGTTTTTTCTGCCAGAAAACTGCTCTCAAAAATGCAAACCAGACGGGGTTTTTTCTTCCTCTAAACGCTGAGCTTAAAACATGCTTCTAAATTTCCTAATATGCATGGACACATAAGATAATATTGAGCTGCTTCCACAGACAAAATGCAAAACTCCTGTAGAAGTAGCGATTTTTAAGCCCAGTGTGCCTTGACCCTTACTCTGGTATATTATTCATAGGCATTTTTTGCGACTTCTAACATTGAATGATTTAAAATTACAAGACAAAGCCAATACAGAGTAGAGAGTAATACAGTCTTTTCTCTTTATATATATGTTTGCCCTTTCTCCTTCCTATGCTATTTTATATTTCATACGATTCTAGAAAATAGTTTCTCTAAATAAACACTAAGGCCTCATTCACACAGGATGTTTTACCAACTCTCCTAGAAGTGTCTCCTCCTGGCAGCAGCGTTTTGGCAAAAAAAAAAAGTTTAGGTGCGCCAAGCTCATGGGTGGCATTTAATTTCAATGGCCATATTAAATTTATTCTGGCCATTGAAATGAATTAATGCTCAAGTGCTAAATGCAGCTAGTGCTTAGGCGCGGTCACATGCTTTCTTCTGCCAAAATGCCGCTGCTCCTGTACACACTGGCAGTGGGGGTTTTTCCCGCCTCTAAACTCTACTAAAAGCCTATATGTGCATGGATACACAGGCTAACATGCAGGGGCTTTTAGAGGCAGGAAAGAAAAAACACCAGACACCCCTAGGATCAGCTGGAAAAATGTCCTGTATGCATGAGGCCTAATAACGGCATTCTATGGAGCAATAAATATGTAATAAAAATGGAGATACAGTTCTGAAGCTTTCGATATGGTTTTGAACTTTTTTTTGTAATATAGATCTTGAAAAGAAATGAAGGAACATGGAAGAAAGAAGAAATATCGATTTATTACGTGCAGAATGGATTCCTTGGCTTCTTCTGTTATAACCAGATAAAAATTCTGTCCATATCTAAACTCTGTGTCAAGGACCAGCAGCAACTCTTCTCCTGGAAACTCCTACAACACAAGGAACAAATCAAAATAATCATCAAAAAGCAATAAAAATATACTGTATATTGGGGTCGGCAACCCGTCGATCGCGGTTTACCTGTCGACCATGGGCAGGTGAAAGGTAGACTGCGAACAGGTCCCTCCCCTTTCCCCCAGACTCCTCTGCTACTGTCATCCTCAGTGCACAGAAAGTAGAGGACAGCACAGCTCAGGACTGAGGGTGGGAGGAGGAGCTGGCCAAATGAACTCTTCATATTAACAAGCTGGTAATTGGCTGCTAGGACACTGCTAAGGGTAGGGCCACACCCACAGCAGTGTCCTCTACCTCCCCCCTTTCCACCGTAGCAGTGTCCTCTACCTCCCTTCATATCACCCTCCTCCCCACAGTAGTGTCCTCTGCCCCCCCCTTTTCACCATAGCAGTGTCCTCTACCTCCCTTCATATCACTCTCCTCCCCACAGTAGTGTCCTCTGCCCCCCCCTTTCCACCATAACAGTGTCCTCTACCTCCCTTCATATCACTCTCCTCCCCACAGTAGTGTCCTCTGCCCCCCCCTTTCCACCATAGCAGTGTCCTCTACCTCCCTTCATATCACCCTCCTCCCCACAGTAGTGTTCTCTGCTCCCCCTTTTCACCACAGCAGTGTCCTCTACCTCCCTTCATATCACCCTCCTCCCCACAGTAGTGTCCTCTGCCCCCCACTTTCCACCATAGCAGTGTCCTCTACCTCCCTTCATATCACCCTCCTCCCCACAGTACTGTCCTCTACCCCCCCCCCTTTCCACCATAGCAGTGTCCTCTACCTCCCTTCATATCAGCCTCCTCCCCACAGTAGTGTCCTCTGCCCCCCCTTTCCACCATAGCAAGTATTTTAAAAATCTAAACTCCCAGCTGGGGATCTGGATCTTTCTGCCATTCAGCAGCAACACTATCCACCGAAGCAATGAAGGGATACATTTTGGCATGGGTGAGATGCTTTGCTTTGCACCCACAGCATATGAACACTCCCATCCTCTGCCTTTTCAGCTTAAGTGGGGGCCGGCTGGGGGAGTGCTAAAAACAAATATCAACCACGTGTTTTTATTGATCCCCAACCATAAGTATAAAATGGGTCCTTACTGTCCAGTCACGAGGGCATGGAGCTGACCAAGCCGTGCTGTCTAACTGCAGCAGAGAAAAGTCAGGTCACCAGGCTGTGCTGGGTAGCAGGGCTACATAAATCTCAGGAATAAATAGACAGAGACAAGTCCTCTTTACAGGGAAAAGAGCTCCCATATAAGTATATATAAACCTCATCTGGAATATGCAGTTCAGTTTTGGGCACCAATTCACAAAAAGAACATTGGGGAACTGGGGAAAGTACAGAGAAGGGCAACCAAACTGATAAGAGGCATGGAGGAGATCAGCTATGAGGAAAGGTTACAGGAACTGAATTTATTCTCTCTTGAGAAGAGGAGATTAAGGGGGGATATGATCACCATGTATAATACATAAGGGGGGATATGATCTTATACATAAGGGGGGGGATAACATGTAATAATAAATAAGGGGGGGGATATGGGGGGTGTATATGATCCATGTATAAAGTAAATAAGGGGGGATAATGATTAGTACACCATGTATAAAGCATAGCTTGACATAAGGGGGGGGTATGATCACCATGTATAATACATAAGGTCCCACCAGGGTTCTCAATCGATGGTGATCTCCATGTTCCATTTTCCTCTGCAATACATAAAGGGGGGATATGATCTCCTGCATGTATAATACATAAGGGGGCAGAAGATATGATCCCTCCATGTATAATACATAAGCGGATCCATGATTCTAATTTTCTCCATGTATAATGGCTTTTGGCATACATCGAGGGGGGGGGTTACGCCTGGGATTCTGATCATTACCATGTATAAACTACCCACATCTTTTCTCAGGGGGGGATATCTCTCCACTCTATTCAGGTATAAGCAGTAAGTCAATAACCAGGGGGGCCTTGAATTTGCGATGATGCTCCAAGGTGTATGGTAATACAATCTTCTTATAGGCCCTTCCTGGAAGGGTCTTCCTGGATATGCCTTCACCATGTTTGTAACCACCATGTAGAAGGAATATCACATATTTTAGCTGGGGCTTATTATTGCTTGATATGACATCCACAGGTGTTTTCAATACCATGTATGAAGAGTGGTACTTAAGGGGGAATATTGTGGCAATCTCCATGTATACTGTATTACATATGTCATTTTAGGGGGTTAGTTACAACGTATGATTCTGAATACAATTCCATGTATATAGTCCCTAAACCCCTTTACAGCATTGGGGGTTGAATACACAACTGTAAGGGGGGGGATATGATCACCATGTATAATACATAGGGGGGATATGATCTCCATGTATAATACATAAGGGGGGATCACCATGTATGATCTCCATGTACATAAGGGGGGATTTGTATCTCCATGTATAATGTATAAAACAATAAGGGGGATACATAAGGGGGGATATGATCACCATGTATAATACATAAGGGGGGGTATGATCTCCATGTATAATACATAAGGGGGGGTATGATCTCCATGTATAATACATAAGGGGGGATATGATCTCCATGTATAAATACATTAGTGGTTCATATAGTAAACTCGGTGTAGAGCTATTCACCCTGAGGTCATCACAGAGGACAAGGGGGCACTCTTTATGTCTGGAGGAAAAGAAATTTAACCTCCAAATACGGAAAGGTTTCTTCACAGTAAGAGCTGTGAAAATGTGGAATAGACTCCCTCAAGAGTTGGTTCTGGCCAGCTCAGTGGATTGCTTCAAAAAAGACCTGGATTCTTTCTTGGATACACAGAATATAACTGGATACTAACATTTATAGGTAAAGTTGATCCAGGGAATATCCGATTGCCTCTCGGGGGATCAGGAAGGATTTTTTTTTACCCTGCAGGAGCAAATTGGATCATGCTTTGCTGGGTTTTTTTTGCCTTCCTCTGGATCAACTGTGGGTATAGGATTATAACTTTTTTTTTTAATGGTTGAACTGGATGGACTTTTGTCTTTTTTTCAGCCAGACTAACTATGTAACTATGTAAGTGTTTCAACTGTGTATTTAGCTGTTTGCCTGGAATTCAGTTTTAATATACATTTAATCATTTTGAGGACCACATGATTGCATTAGCTGGTATTTAATGCATATGGTATTTATTTCTGACTGGAATTTAAAGTGGTTCTAAACCCTTACATATACCCATTAGAGTGACTGGCCTCAGGTCATACACACAGATGAAACAAATCCTCCTACATATGTTGTACCTGTTTATCTGCAGTCTTCTCTACATCCATTCAAAGTCCAGAATTAATACAGCTTGTCTAAGTGTTCAGAAAGCAGGGGGCGGGGAGCTGAAATTACACTATACAGAGCTCAGTGGGGAGAGCTCTGAGAGCTGATTGGAGGGAAGGGACACACCCTCTTCACACAGCACACAGAAACAGAGTTGAAGCTGTCAATCACAGGCTGTGTGCTGCAGCTCCCTCCCCTGTCACCATCTTACTCTTGGTGTTAGAAAAACTCAAAAGTGATTCTTGCTGATAGAGGAATGAAGCAGCAGACAGAAATTACTTTTAGTGCTCTTAACTGAGACAAGTACACACTAAAGATGTCATGCTGGACATGCGTTGTTTCTTATCTTATGTCTGAGGTTTACAACCACTTTAACCTTAATAACACACACCACGTACTGTTATAACAGATTTAATTGGGCTGAAGTCTGAAACTGCAGCCCGGGTCTTCAGATCACTCAATATTTCTTCTTTCTTTAATAGTTTGTATGGGTTTTCTTGGGTGACATCCTCATCCACACGACACTGGAAGATTTCCTGCGTTTTAGAGGTTAATACTAGAGGAATTACATAATCCGGGTGACCTGTGAAATGAAAGGTAAAACAGGACGTCAAGTCGGTCATTCTATGACACATAACATGCCAATGCTATTAAAATATTTGTCACTAATTGTGTAAGAAAGACAATGGAATCCTATTGGAGACATGAATTACTTCCTTGCTTCCTTGCTGATCTCTTCCAGAATTCCTAATATCTTAATTTCAGCTTTAAAATATGCTATAAAGTCAACCTGACAGTTTTAAAATTTAAAAATTAGGAGTTGTAGTTGAAGAGGTATTCAACACAAATAATTTCAACCTTTAGAGATGGGTCCCTTTAACATCAGTATAGTCCATTACAAGGGCTGAGCAATGGCTCCTGCATACTGAAGTGCTGCCTAAATTTACTTCCCCCTGCAGTACTGTGCAAAGGCTGTGAACATTTATGTAAAGTTAGGATACTTTCAAAAATACAACAACCTACAAAGTACTTAGAAGAGAAGTATGGTTAAAGCTTTTTTGGTCATAATTCTCCTCTGGTTCACAGGAGTGCACTTACTTTTCTACACCACTGATCCAAAATCAGCCAACATCAGGACATTACGGAACACCTCCAGGCTCTGGAAAGATTCAGACAATAATGTCGTGATCCACCCAGATGCCTGATTGGCAGCTGCCTCCACCTTTCAGCACACAGCTAAGAGCCTGAGCCAGCTGTTCCCTTCCCCTCTCCTGACTGGTCCCCCAATGAGCGCTGAAAGGGCAGAGCAGAGAGCCAGTGACTGACAGTCAATGCTCTCTGCTCAGCGTGGATTGAGAACTGAGCGTTTAGCAATGATTGCTCAGTTCTTTGGCTCAGAGCCAGTGGGGGAAAGCTGCGGCATCACACCAATGCTTCAGCCATAGAGGTGGGTATGTATGTTTGTTTTCTTATTCCCACACCTCTGCCCCCTTCACATATTGCGTAGTGGGAAAGATTGTTCCCAGTAATTTTCAATGCGTGATTCTCACGAGATTCTGCATTCGCATAGGGCCAGTCCATTCACTTGAATGGGCTTCCTTATGCATGTTTGTCGCCCGTAAAGAAGCTCCTGCTCCTTTTTGGATGACAAGCTTCACGCAGCATCGCATTGTGTTTGGGGTGGCATTAAAGGATAATGGTGCCCAAATGTGCAAGGTGCAACGATTCTGATCGCGATTCCAAAACGCAAAGTTTGAATGGAGCCTTTAAAAAATGAATTCAAATCAATATTTGGAGTGTCCACTGTCACCTTTAAATGACAGCATCACTCTTGAGTTTGCATGCTAAAACGATGGGGTCTCACTCTCTTTAGAATAAAATTTTACAATAAAAAGATAGTTAAAGCTGAACTCTGGGCACAAAAACTTACATCCAATATCTTATATTCCTCAACCGCCATAGAGGATATAAAGCCACTTTGTGTTCACCAAAAACCTTTGCAAATCCAGGTCTTACCACGCGATATCATCACTGTGCTACACATAACTTGAACAGAGAGCAGAGCTATGGGAGGAACCCAGCAGGCCCCACTTACTACAGGATGACTGTAGATAACTACAAGAGGGGGCGGAGACAAGACCCATCACCCTGCACAAGGAGAGAGAGCAGCAGTGACAGGTCTTTATACAGGAAGCTCCTGCACAGAGGTAAAGTCTCACATTGGATTACTGCACAGATCAGAAATAAATACACAAAGCACACCAAGATTCAAGTAAGAATACACGTCTCTTATATTTAGACAGTATTTGCTTATCCTGGAGTTCAGCTTTAAGTTGACGAGAGTTGAAAACAGGAGCATTCGAAGACTATAAACTAAAGCTGGTGAGCTATTTACTCCACCAGCCTCCACCCATATCTAAAATATCACTTTTTTTTTGGTCCGACTATTTAAAATAAGTCTTTCTAATCTAAGCAAAACCTTTTGTGTCCTTTATGGTAAACCACTTCAGATTTTGTTAAAAAATAGAAAAAAAACCTTCAGGAACGGTGACAGGCCTGTGATTATAGCTTGGCCTTCCAACTCCGGAATGTGGTTATCACCGGTAAACATAGTATATTGGAGGAAGGAAATGCAGGCTGAAAATAAGATGAAGGATGTACCGACCCCAGCAAATCTTATTCTGGAGGTCAATGACCGATCAAGGGAAAAGGAGGAGGCCATTTGGTTAGGTTTTTATATCCTACAAGATTTCATGTGTCAGACTTGTGTGTTGATTCAGCCATGCAATACGAAGTGCGACACTGTGCAAACAACCAACATATTTATTGATATCAAAGCTCTTCTGCCCCAGATCTGTAACCGACTGCCTTCTGTCCTGACACCAGCACTGGATCAAAGCCTGGCAGAAGATCGTGATCCACACAGGACTTTGCCAGGTTCTAGGAGGTTTATTCAAGTTTACAGCTGATCACCCTCTAGGAAGCCTTAGAAATCCTGGAGGAGCCCTCCGCACACTGCTTTTTACCCTTTCCAGCAAACGCTGCAATATAAAAAAAGGGATTTTTAGTTCACACATATTGCAATAAATATTTAAGCTGACCATCTTCATCAAAGTAATCCCTCACCGGCCATAGAGGGATTACTTTGATGCAGTTGACCAGCTTAAACATGTATTGCAATATGTGTGAACTACAAATTCCTATTTTTTATGGCAACATTTGCTTGAAAGGGTAATTAGTGTGCGGAGGGTTCCTCCAGGATTTCTAGTGTTAATATGTGGTTACACCCCTTTTGCACCTAATAAATGAATCTACAAGATATTGGGATTTGAGCACAGGTATATCCTGTTTCTCTAGGAAGCCTTGGAGCATTTCACCAAAGGATGTGCTTAATCATTCTCTGTGACTGTGCTTTATTTGTGTGAGAGGAGCCTCTTTAGACCTCCTTTATGACATCTATCCAGGAACAGCTAATACGTTTTTAATCAAAGTTGTTTTAAGCTGGATAAATTGTAATTATGTATATCATTTTTGTTGATGATAATGTGATTTGTACTGTGAAAATGTTTCTCCAATTTACCAGATATTCCTGCGGTGTCCCCTGATGAAGCAGATATAAAACTGCGAAACATGTCGGAATTTATCAGCAGGCTGCAACTACAGCTATGTATTTGTATGGTTTTTATGCAAGTTAATATGCAAATGTGTGCATTAATTTCTTGAATGGTAGTTATGAATTTAATCCAGCACTTTTTGTAACTTAATAAATATATTGTTTTATTGTATATCAATTGTATTGGAAACTTAGTATGGTGCCTTTAAAGTCCCTTTACATTGAGGGTATACCCTTCTCTTTTCCATTGGATATGCTGATTTCATTGGAATGTGTCACCATACGCCTATTCCCTGAGATGTACTAAATATAATTGTTGCATTCTTTGTGACTGAGAAGCTCTGGGCAGCCCTTTTGCTTGTTTTTTGGTACCCCTCCAGCTCTAGTTTTTTTAAAAAAAGGTATATATATATATATATATATATATATATATATATACTCTTAGATTGTAAGCTCCAAGGAGCAGGGCCCTCTCAACCCTCTTGTATTGTTGCTGTATTGTCTCCCGTTATATTGTAAACTGCTGAGCAAACTGTTGGCGCTATATAAATCCTGTATTAATATAATAATAAATGTATATATATATATATATATATATATATATATATATATATATATATATATAGGTTCGGTAGTGTGACAGTCCTGAATTCTGCAGAGAATGCTACCACCTCATTACATGATCCTGTTCTCTGCAGCATACTCCTGAGTCCACAGGGGGTATGTCCTTGACACCCTGGGCTCACAGGAAGTGAGTTTAATAATGCTGGGAGTCATTCAGACAGAAACTAATAACCCTTTTAAGGGCCCAACTACACCTAGCTGATCCAATGGAGCATGTTTAACACATGCACATTAACATGCAAGTTCTCACATGGCGAAGTTCCACTCTTTCTCATCCCCCCATCCCCCCCCCCCCCCCCCCCCCCCCCCCCCCGGTTTAGAAATTTATTTTTGGCAAGGGGGTTGGGGAGGGGAGCGGGTACCTAGTTTTTTTCTACTTCCCGGCAAATCACCTAGGCAATTCCATCCTATGTTCGCTCTCCCCCTGCCTTCAACCTTCAGGACAAAGGTCTAAGGAGGCTGCAGGACCATTCACAGCATGCAGTGTGGCTCACGCATGCGCAGTAGGGAGCCGGCTGTGAACCTGCAAGGAATCACAGCAGGCTTCCCACAGTTAACATGCCGGCGCCAAGGAACCAAAGACTGGCGAAGAACTTGCCCGGGTGAGGACAGTGCTGGATCCTTAGACATGTGAGTGTCTGTTTAGTAAACGTCAGCAGCTACAGTTTTTGGAGCTGCTGACTTTTACTTTTTGGAACCCTGGCTGAAGCTCCTCTTTAAGGCAGTCCATTTACTTGAATGGGCTGCCAACGTTCAACAATGGACTGAAAATTAGACCTACGCCATCATTGGTAATGCACCGTATGGTAGTGTGTTACAATGTGCTGGGGTGCACTGCAACCTAATGCAGGCCATAGACGATTCATTTATCGACCGATTTTTCATCCGAAAAACAAAACATCGGTCGTTCTTTTGTCACCAATGATTGCGAAAATCGGCCGTTTTTTTAGCAAATTTTCCAGCATGACCGATGAAAGGAATGAGGAACCGCGAAAATTGGCCGATGCCATTGCCCCACTAACAGTGCGAAAATCGGCCGATCATTCTTTCAAATGAAAAATCGGCCAATAAACGAACCGTCTATGGCCTGCATAAGTGTGTAGTCCTGAATGCTGAAGAGAATGGTACCGCCTCATAACGCGATCCAGTTCTCTGCAGCATACTCCTGCTAGATCATGCAGTTAGAGGGGATGAATCCTTGACACCCTGGGCTCACAGAATGATACTAGAAGTCATTTAAAGCAGTAATAATCCCAAAAGCAAACATTTATTACTAAGCAATTCTTAGAAGTTGGGCTGCATTTCTTTTCTTTTTTAGGCTTTTTTCTCCTTATTTTCATTTGGTG